ATTCCGACCCCCGAGCCGCGCTACCTATCCTATGAGAAGGGTGGATCCAAGAAACCTGACGTCCCCGCAAGCTCGGATCCTACTTTCAAGCAAAAGTCTAAGTCTAAACCTCGGCAAAATCTCGGTCGTCTGGTGATCCTAAGTCTCCTCAGGACGCAGATCTGGAGGCGGAAGATCAAGAATCAGAGGCCGACACAGCAACGGCAGTGGTGGTGGTGGAGGTGGCGGATCTGCTGTGGATCCAGCTGGGATGCCTCTTGTTTCGACGATGCTTCCGCGACGCCATTTTGCTCCTGATCATGTGTGCATCCCTGGCCTCCAGCAGACTCGTCAGTACAACATTGCTGACGTGGATCCATGGGTGATCCAACGGATCAATCCCCTGACGGTCATGACCATGACCCTAGAAGTGTTGTCTCGTGCGCTGCCGTTTCGGCCTGAGTGGATCTTTCCAAGTCACGTTCCTCTGGTGGCCTCTCCAAGATCAGAACAATATTGCAGCCACTTGATCACGGGTCAGAACGTTCGTGATCTTATGGCTGCCCTTCCCTGGAATGTGCTCACTGGTGCTAACATCCCCGAGCCCATGTCATTTGAGATCACGGTCGACGGTTGCTTGGGTTTCCTGATCGAGAGATATTCGGCGGTGGTGTTCCAAGATCTGATTGCTTATTGGGAGTCAACGCATCGTTTTCCCATTTCGCCGGCCTTGATCCGCAGTGATCCGTTTCTGGCACTCTTTGTCGTGGAGAGGAAGAACCGTCGGTCCCACGCTGGTGCTAGGTGGAAGCAGATCCTGCGACTGTTCTTGATCGCCATGCGCGAGGGCTGATGTGATCTGGATCTGCTGCTGGATCCCTACTTCTCCATTTTCCCAAGCGAACGGATGAAGTGGCTTGGTATACCGGGATTGAGGCTCGCAGTGCCAACCTCCCGGATCCGCAACTGCACCGACGCGAGCCTGCAGATCTGATCGAGGCGCTCGCTGAGTGTGACGCCGCAGATCCATGGCGTACTCGCTACCGACTGCACCATGCGGGTCGCCCCGCTCGCCGGATCGCGCATCTCGCCGGTAAAGTTTTCAACATGGCAGCTCTGAACCCCAACGCGCCGCCTCTTCCTCCTCAGCAGTGATCCTGACACCTCTCCCTATATGTCTTCCAGATCAACTTCGTCAACCGTAATACATGTCATCTTTCTCTCAGATTTAGATTCGTCAATGTTCTTTGATTCCGCTAAGTCCTCAACCACGCTAATTCGCATAGATCTCCACTCTAATACCTCCACACTTGTTGTTCGCCATTTGATCTACAATTTTTCAGATAATACAGTCTTAGATCCACAATCGAAATTCGTTCCCGCTCACTCCATGTCCATCTCAGAATCAATCTCGTTCCACTCCGATCCTCTATCAACTTGTCATCATATACAAAGTCACGTAAACCCGTCCTCCGATCTGCAACATCCTTGCAGATCCATCAATCTTCAACTACATCAGTGACCAACTCACCGGTGTGGATCCAGATCTCACGGTTTCTCGTGAGAGTGTATCACACCAAAATGGTCGCGATTAGTGCGATCTCGCAAGAACTCATAGAGAAGAGCACCGCAGTTGAGATCTGCCTCATCTACCCAATTTGGATCTTCATATCCGCGCCAGTGTACCAGAAATTCTCGGTAGATCCGTCCATATCTAGTCATCTTGCCAGTCCTTATATCGGAAATTTGCTCCACTTCGTATTCATCTGGGTCCCGATCCTGGATCAAGCTGTCTTCAGGTAGGAGAGTCTCATCGAAGTCCACCCGATCTCCTTCCGCCTCATTTACACGAGCTATTGGTCGATCTGGGAATATCTTAACCAGTTTGATCTTCGAGACATATTCTACCGGGAAAATGATGTATGTTGATTCTACGATCTCCAACCTTACTGTATATTCCCTGATCATTTCAGCGACGCGAAAAGGCCAATGCCATACGTGCGCCAGCTTCTTTGCATATCCTTCACGCACCCGATCCAGGTATAACCAGACTCTTGATCCAGACTCTACAGTATGAGGACGTACTAGATCATTATGTGTGTCGGCCCGATCCGCGATCCCTTCGCGTAAACGTTGGTTTACTCGTTCTCGAGCTTGTTGATAGTACCTTTGCATCTGGTATCGCCATCTCCTTGAATCTCGCTCATGCCTGCGAGTGCTCCCCACCGGGTTCATCGCTTCCAAGGTGGATCTAGGATCCCAACCATGTATCATGTAGAAAGGGGTTTCACCTCGGATCCGATCTCTTGTAGTGTTGATCGCGAAGGTGAGCTGCTCAGCGTATTCGTCCCAATCTCGTTGATCCAGATCTTGCACATACATTTTAAGAGCCCTGGTAGTTGTCTGGACCATACGCTCTGCGGATCCATTATCTTGGGGTCGGTGAGCCATAGTAGCCCGTTGATGTTGTCCCAGGATCTTGTTGAAAGACTTAAAGAAGCCAGACATAAACCCTGGCTCCCGATCGTGCCGGGTCACCTCGCTCGCACCAAATCGGCGGAAGACACATTCCTCGTAGGTCTCAGTGATTGTCTGGGCGGATCTAAAGGCGCTGGCTTTGGCGATCACATATCCCGAGAATAGATCCACGGAGATCAACAATTCGGTGTTGCCCTTGAAGGATCTAGGCAATGAAGGTATGTGATCTATGGCAATGATCTGGAATGGTTATGTCACCTGAAGTTTACCAGGAGACTCACCCTGGACCCGGGGTCGTCCTTTGCCTGATCCATAGTCGACACATTCTCCCACATATCGCTGTACACTCTTGTACAGTCCTCTCCAGTGGAAATGATCACGGATCCGATCGGATGCGACCGATCCCTTGATGGCCACCCTGTAGACTCGTGTGATAGTGATGTAAAATGTCCTGTTGAAGCGTCTCAGGTATCACCAGTCGCATCAATTTATCTCGATCTGCAGCTGCTTCTTTAGTTGTCGGGCAGTAGAAGAGTAGATCCGACTGATCCACTTCATAATTCATAGCAATAGGTCCAAACATCTTAGCATCCTCTCGTGTCAGATCCTGGATCTCTCCAACCAAGTACTTCTTCAAGCCCAGAATCCACGACTCTTCGTTCTGCGCTTGTCGGATCCGCTCGATCTGTAGCTCTCTCACGACTTCCTCTCGTAGGGAGTCTGGATCTGATCCCATACGCACTCCAGATCTAGCCTTAGATCGAGTCGTCACAGCTGATATCTGTGTGACCTCTTCTTCGACTTTTACTATCAGGATCTCATCCAACCGATAAAGTTATGAGATCCTGGATCTCCTTGTCGGACTCTATTTCGATCCCACACAGCTGCTGCAGAGCAGCGCTCGCTAAGCTGTCAACACTCCCGTTCCAATCTCGTTTGACGTGTAGCAAGCGTCTGTTTTTCTTGATCCTCAGATTCATTCGCAGGTACCGGCGCAACCGCTTGCACTCGACTCCAGCACTCACTTTCTAAAATCTCTCTTCAGCAACAAGCCCTACTCCCTTCAAGCCAATCAACAATGATTAACATCCCCACCACGTTCAAAGCCTACGAGTTTGCCAATTACGGCGACGGGCTCAAGGAAGCCAAGTCGACGTGTAACAGCTCATGATCTGGCCAAGTATGTAGTGGATCCAAAGCCCGCTGACGTAACAGTGTCAGACCCGGTGCCTTATAATCGATTTCATCTCGTACTTGTCGGATCACCAGGTTTGAGTCTCCGCGGATCACCAGAAATCGCGGATCCAGATCTGCCAACAGATCCAAAATAGCAACAGCCCATGGTATTCCGCCTCGTTCACCGTCAAGCATTCGGCATACCCAGATCTAGCATTCAGCACTCTCCATTCGGGCAGCGTCCACAAGATCGCACTGTAGGCGCCTCCACCCCTCTTGACACGAGCAGATCCATCGAAACTAACGACGTATAGCTCCCCATCGCGCCTACGAGTGGGGATCAGACCTCGGATCTTGCGTCTTGGCTGCTTTTTTGGGGCAATAGAGATCAAGGCTTTATCCATTTCGGATCTGGGGGTAATACGGGCCACCAGTGTTCCTAAGATCTCGTCCTCTCCTTTGATACACTTGGTGATCTCAAGAGTCTAGGGTGACAACAGAGCAGCCCACTCTCCTAGACGTCCTTGCAGGGCTGTGGATCTGAAGAGCTGCGCCAACTTTGGGGTGTCGGTCAACACGTGTATTGGACGTCCGACCAGTGCATTGTAGTTAAGATCCAGGATCCTCAGAAGAGCTAGCACCTCTTTCTCCGCTATGCCATAATTTAGCTCATTCGACTTCAAAGTGCGGGTCGCGAACATCACGGGGTAGTAGGTCAGGTCATATTCCTTCATCAATAACCCCGAAATGGTCCAATCACTAGCATACACCACGATCGTAGCCCTCCGATCTGGATCAAAGCGCCATAAGACCGGGGTAGTAGCGATTTTGGTTTTGAGCACTCTGAAAGATCTGACACGATGTCGGTGAAAACTTTTCGTGTAGGAGATGTATAGC